GTCGGTTCACACCCCATCACAAGCCAGCAAAACACCCACGAAACAAAGAAAGGTCTGTCACAGCCAAAAAATACACTCCAGACACGCCGCTGGCACTAGAGGCACAGCATATATATATCGACACAAACATATATATATATCGTCAAATATATATAGTCAAACAGAGCTGCCCGGTAGACGAGGACAATAAACGAGGGGCTGTGATCGAAGAAAAAGAAAAACCATGGAGGACGGTTACCATGAGGATGCTTCGTGCCCATACCTGAGTGGAAAGCATGCTTCTAATATAAGTGGATAAACCCTGCAATCATTGCCAATCAACAGATTCAAGCACGAAACAGATTAGTCTTTTGCAACGCCAGATGGACGTTGGAGCCACTAAGTGCATAGAGTATATGTCGCCTTCGATGGCCCGCATTTGGCGTTCTTTGATTCCTACACGGAGGCTCTCAAGAGTCAGAGTTATCCGGAAAAACTGTCAGCTTACGAATGTGGTTTTCCAGGGCGGTTGTAAGGGCACCTAGAGTTATCGAAGTGTGCGACCGAACTTCACACTAGGGGCATATATGGCTTACCTTCAATTCGCAACAGTAGAGGAAACAAAGCATGCCATAAAAGCACATTCATAGAGGCTTGAAGTAAAATGCAAGTAAATCTGTGCGGTCCATCGGGATCATAATTCTTATCCGCATAGGAAGGATATAAAAATCATATAACCTTTGTAAGTGCATCTTACAAATCCACACTTCTTAAGTCGTTCTACAAGCTCCTCGATAGGGGCTCGGTGGAGAACGAGTCTTGGGTGTATCCCCTTGAATGAAAATAAGACCCATAGCCCAAACACTCCGAACTGCCCAAGAAGGACGTTCTGGCCCAAGAAGGAAGGTCAAAAGCTCCAGCAAGTCTTAGCAAGTTCCAGCAAGTCCCAGCACGTTCCAGCAAGCCGCAGGAAGTCCCAGGAAGCCCCCGAAAATCCCAGCAGTCCCAGTAAGAGTTGAGCAAACCCGTGAGAAAAGCCCTAGATGGATTAAATAATAGAATGCATCTCAGCCATCCATTTGACATTCAACCCAGCCTTCCAAAACAGAAAGCCAACCCAGACTTGCAAAACAGAAAGCCAGGGACCGGTGTGCTCATTTAGGGTCTGTCCCACGGGTGCCATGTTCGTTCTAAGTATGCATCAGCCAAGCCATTTTAGCAGCCAGGTTCATGGTTTCTCGGCACGGACATAGAATGCGGGCCTGACCCTCATCCACTTATCCAAGTGCTCAGCAGCTGATGACTCCTTTTCCCAAAGCACCACTTGCTGCAGATGATTGCTGTCTGACCGGATGGGGGTGGGGGGACAGAGAGAGAGAGAGAAAGAGAGAAAGAGAGAGAGAGAGAGAGAGAGAGAGAGAGAGAGGGGGGGGGGGGGGAGAGAGAGAGAGAGAGAGAGAGAGATATGGTTTCTCGGCACGGACATAGAATGCGGGCCTGACCCTCATCCACTTATGCAAGTGCTCAGCAGCTGATGACTCCTTTTCCCAAAGCACCACTTGCTGCAGATGATTGCTGTCTGACCGGATGGGGGTGGGGGGACAGAGAGAGAGAGAGAAAGAGAGAAAGAGAGAGAGAGAGAGAGAGAGAGAGAGAGAGRGGGGGGGGGGAGGGAGAGAGAGAGAGAGAGAGAGAGAGATATGGTTTCTCGGCACGGACATAGAATGCGGGCCTGACCCTCATCCACTTATGCAAGTGCTCAGCAGCTGATGACTCCTTTTCCCAAAGCACCACTTGCTGCAGATGATTGCTGTCTGACGGGATGGGGGTGGGGAGAGAGAGAGAGAGAGAGAGAGAGAGTACCCTGAGAAATGGCCTCTCAATACCTGAAGGGTGTCCCACGTTTGGAATGGAAGATAGTCTGGGGTTACGCTGTTTGGGTAGCCCTGCACAAGACCCACAAGAAGCCCCACAGAAGCACCAATAATGAAACAGTACGCCATATGTGACCAAAAGGCACATCTACAGTTCCTGATTCCTGGAGAATTGATCAAGACGAATGCAAGGCTGCATTATATTGCATAGTACTGCATACCATTATATACGATTGCATACTATTGCATAGTGTTGCATAGTATGTATTGGCTAGTATTAGATGTGTCCAGAAGAGTGTGCATCTCCACAAAGTGTGCATATTTTCACACACATGCTAATATTGCATAAACGCACACCCATAGTATTGCATAGTATTGCATAGCATGGCATAGTCTTCCATAGCATGGCTCAGTATTGTGCATATTTTCACTCACATGCTTGTCTTGCATGAACGAACATCCATGGTATTGCACAGTATTGCACGGTATTGCACAGTATTGCATAGTATTGCATACTACTGCATACTACTGTATAGTATTGCATAGTATTGTATAGCATTGCATCGTATTGCATGGTATTGCATACTACTGTGTAGTATTACATAGCATTGTATGGTATTGCATAGTATGCAAGCATTGCATAGTATTGCTCAGTATTGCTTAACCTTGCATAGCATTGCATAACATTGCAGAGTATTGTGCAGCATTGCATGGTATTGTGTATTGTTGGATAGCATTGCATACTGTCCAGCAAAGTGCAGATTTCCACGAAGGACATATGTTCCCACTCACAAGCTTAGTGCTGCACAACAATTCAAAATAAACTGCTAAATACCCACGGATAATTTGCACCCATTATGAGGTAATTACAAGAAAGACCTGTTTCTATCATGTTCCTCAGTCACCCGTTTGTAGGGCATGACGGGCACCAATTCTCTTGCCATCATTACTCAGTTTCAACGTTTCACCTGAATCAATTCTCTGAATCATGACGGGCCCCATGACCACTGCAGCTATCCTGTCTTGCTCTAGCTTCTAAGTTAGCAGAATCAGAACCAGCACCGAAACCAGATGATCTTGATCAGCTGCTAAATCAAAAAAAGAAAAAGAAAAAGAAAAAAAAAACTGGATTGTCAGGGAGTAGCCCACCTGTGTGGCTGAATGCTGCACACATGTAATTGTTCAAGAAAACATCATGAGTCCCAACCCTGACCGAGCCAGAGAGATACAATAAGGTCAGGGGCTACCCACTTTCTAAGAATGGAAAGAAGGATTTAACAGAGCCTAAGCACTGAATAGTTGTAGCCAGAAGCTCGCCTGATTCCAAAGCGCATACTACGCTCTCAGCTCTGAGTAGTTTGTGCGCAGCAAATTTTTGTGAACTTCATCAAAGGCTAGCACATCACAAGAAACGTTTTCAGTTAGGAGATTGTGCACCCGACAGTTTGATGATTTCCAGAATCTTCTTCCATTTCCCCACAACACACACACACACACACACACACACACACACACACACACACACACACACACACACACACACACACATGGGGAATTTGGCATAGTACTCGCAGTGGCCTCACTGTAGCTCTAGGACATCATCCGATTCTGCAGGTTGCGTGGCATGGGGAGGTTCATGGCACTCTTGGTGTTGCATACAGGTCCTGCAGTGTTTTTTTTTTTTTTGTGGTGGCATTGTACGCTGGCGCAGAGGGCTCCCAATTTTTTTTTTTAGACCGTTGGCATGTGTGGTCAGTTCTTTTTTGTTAGTGGAGCCTTTTGTATTATGCTGTTTTGTGGTTTTGTGGGCCGACGTGGAGGGCTCTCCAAGTTTTTTCGGACCTATGGTGGATGGGGTCGGTGCTTTCTTGCTGCTGGAGTCCACTGTCTTAGGTAAGTTGCTTCTTGCCCTCCATCCTCTTATGGATCAAATAAATATATCTATATATCGTCAAACAGAACTGCCCAGTAAACCGTTGGCAGAGAGGGAGAAGAGGACAACAATCTTTCGTCAAACAGAGCTGCCCGGTAAACCATAGGCAGAGAGGGAGAAGAGGACAACAAACGAGGGGCTGTGGCAAACTGTTTCGTCGGAGTTTCACCGACTCATCAGGAGGCTGAACCCTCAACAGTCTGCAGAATCCCCTAACTGATTACACTGTAAGCGATAATCCACCTTAACCCCGGCTGGGGTTAAGCATCAACGACTGCCCGACAACTGATACCCTGAGGTGGGCACCAACCACTGCCCTCAAGGTACCTGTGGCAAAAGTCAAAGCAGACTATCACTCACCCACACCAGATGGAAAACTCTACAGACTGTCGGTTCACACCCCATCACAACACACAGTAGAGCACGTTGGAATCAAGTACACAAACAGGTTTTGTTTTCAACAATTACCGTCTCCAGGGATATAATCAGATTTCTAGATGGAAGAATAAGCACCAGGTTCAGGCTCAAAATGAGGACGAAGGACGTGACCCAAAAAGAGAGAGGGGAAGGGGGGGGGAAGGGAGGAAGGCAGACCCGAACCCCCCCCCCCCCTCAAAAGAAAAAAAAGAAGAAACAAACAGGCCTTCATTTGTCAATCACACAGGGCATACATTACGGATTCTTGCACATATATTTTGCTGAGAATGCCAGAACAAAAGGTTGTAGATGGACAAAGAGAGAGAGAGAAGTGGGGAGAAGGGGAAGTGAACAAGAAACACACCTCGGGCAAGAACGCCAGCCTTATATTCCGCCATGCAGAACTGTTCACCTTCCGTTCTCTGCACAACAAATGGGCTCCTCAGCAGAGGAGAGGAGAGGGAAACCCACAAGGCCATTATCATTTCAACCAGCAACACAATAATTGGTAATTAGAAATTACACTCAACATCTATGAAGAGGTGGTGCAGGTTGCTTCTTAGAGCTTCTGACAACGAACCAGACGTTGTTCAGAAGTCTATTGTCGGTCCTTAGGGTTTAGGGTTTTAGGGGGAGACCATGAGGATCAGAAGCTACAGGAATCTCAAGCCTACAGGTTTCGTTGAATTGATGGACAAATTAAGAAGTAGATGGTGTGAGTTTTACTCTCATGGCGCCATCGACTCCTCCCCAACACCGTTAAGGAATTTCATCCCTTAAGACGGGCCAGATAACGGACGAGGTTTTTGAGGAACAAGAGTGAGCAGCATACTTTCACACTGGGACTTTCCTGGTGGATGCAGGTAGCCGGAAATTCGACCAGATGCAGTCCAGAACGTAATCCCTTGAAGTGAATCTGTTCATAAATGTCCACACACACACACTTCATGTTCGCTACCCTAGGCCTTCTTCCCCCGAATAATGACTGCTCCATTTGTTATTATTTTTTATTACAATGACTGCGGTTAAACCTTAGGCCTTCTTCCCCCGAATAATGACTGCTCCATTTGTTATTATTAGTTTAATGCAATGACTGCGGTTAAACCTTAGGCTTTCTTCCTCCGAATAATGACTGCTCCATTTGTTATTTTTTAATGCAATGACTGCGGTYAAACCTTAGGCCTTATTCCCCCAAATAATGACTGCTCCATTTGTTATTTTTTAATGCAATGACTGCGGTTAAACCTTAGGCCTTCTTCCCCCGAATAATGACTGCTCCATTTGTTATTAGTTTACCGATGATGCAACGACTGCCACGTCCCCTTTCTGAGAGAGCTTGGAGCCTGATAAGTGCCAATCTGTACCTCCGGGATAGGTGTCGAGTCCATCACTACAAAGTCGTTAGTCCCATGCTGTCCCTTCTTCTGGGTCACCCTCACATCCTTCCAACCTGCCGGTTGTTTATTCACTGCCACGTCCCTTTCTGAGAGAGCTTTTTGTTTTCTTTGTTTTCTTTGTTTTCTTTGTTTGTTTTTTTTTTTTGGAAGAATTGTGATGAGAAAGCTTTTTTTTGGAGTTGGATAAGCGCATTTCAAAATGCATTCTTTTTTTGGAGCATTTTGTTCTCCAGAGAGCCATCTCGGTTGACTCTTTCCACTCTGCGTAAAGTGCTCCTAAAGTCATTCTCCACCGTTACCAGTCTACCTCCGTTAGCCCAAGTCCTGGCAAACCTCCGTTAGCCCAGGTCCTGGCAAACCTCCGTTAGCCCAAGTCTCTGTCCGTTGCCCTTCCGACTTTCCTTCTCCAGTCCACCGCGATGGCGCTCCTGATTTGATATTTGAATTTGGTTCCTTCCTTGCCAGATTGCTGGGAACCCAATAAGCTCGGATTACTTGGGCAACGTAACGCCAGCCTTCCTCCAGCTTGAGGTTGTCTGGGACTCCACCCAGCAGGACCCAGACAAGGCATGAACACTTTTTTTCTTTTTTTTTTTAATAATTCATTATAAACAGATGAGAGCTTTCAAGTCTTTTGTCCAAAACTGTAGTGCAACTTAATAGCGATTTTTTGCAATTAGGGCGCACTTGAGACTCTAGGGTTCTCTAGTGAGGTGTCGAACGAGGCCCATATTCTGGTTCCACGTGTAACGCTCTGACCCATCATCTCTTCCGTGGCCACCCTCTGGGGGGCTCTACTCTATCTGAGTCTTGAAGGATATACCCCAGATCAGTGTCGTAGTCCACCAGTGCGAGGTCTTCCCCGCCTTTGCCTCTGCCTCCCCACGCCCACCAGGTGTAGGGTCGGCTCTAAGCACTGAGATAGGTCTTCCATCACTCACGGATGGAGACTGCCCATTCCAATAACTTTTCCTTACGCACATGGCATTCCTTCTCTTGCCTATATATATATC